GGTATGTGTTTTATGAGCCAATATTGTGCCTGCAGTTGATCCAATGAATTGCCCATTGGCCCACAAATACAACCTTATTTGGACCAATTACCTAAGAAAGAGAATTCAAATTCTTCTATTTTTAAACTAGTGGTTTGGCATGTTTACAATTCGTGCCAAATTGGTACAGAGTCAAATTCCTTCATAGTGAGAATAGTAGTCACAGTTTGTGGTCCCAGTGATTGTAGTTTACTATTAATGATCTTTCTGTTTGTAGGAGGTCAGAGGACACTGCTCTTTTCATTTTAAAACAATTATATAAAAATAATAATAATAATACTGCAGCTGCTGTTGGAGAGTTTACTAAATCTTAATAACTAACAATTAGCTGATTCTTATTCAATTGTGCTTTATAAAGCTTTGCCATTATTATTAATATTATTATTATTATTATTAAATTATTATTATTTGCAATTTTGTTAATAAAATTAAAGACATGTAAATTAAAATTCACACTGGAATACAGCCAAAATTTTATAAAATAATTATAATAATAAATAAATAATTAATCTCCAGGTTGTGATGGTGAGTTCGCGTTTCTTGTGTCTAGTTCTTTTTTGCATTCTTGACATACTCTTACTGTCTGTTGGAAAGCAGCTGGAGCTGTGAGAAAGAAAGAAAAAAAGGAAGTTTTTAAATTCGCATAGCATCAATCTAATGTCAAGTAAATCAGCTTTTAGATTACAAAACTTATCCTCTCTCAGTTTCTCTGTTGCTTACATGTTGCTCCTAACCATGCTTTTGCCACTTTTACTGTACAGGATCCACAGTAGATCCTTCCACACCAATTACAAGTGTGCTATTAATTTAAGAGAAATGTAATTAATTGTTATAATAGTCAGTGTTGTACCTTTCTCTTTAATAAACTGGCAAATGAAGCACCACAATTATTGCAATTGTTATCTATCAATAATAATAATGATAATAACAAACAATATTAAATCATGAATAATAATATTAATTGTCACAAAATCCGTGACAAGTAAAAACCCATTGGTTCCATTGTCACGAAATCTGTGACAAGCAAAAACCCATTGGTTCCATTGTCACGAAATCCGTGACAAGCAAAAACCCATTGGTTCCATTGTCACGAAATCCGTGACAAGCAAAAATCCATTGGTTCCATTGTCACGAAATCCGTGACAAGCAAAAACCCATTGGTTCCATTGTCACGAAATCCGTGACAAGCAAAAATCCATTGGTTCCATTGTCACGAAATCCGTGACAAGCAAAAACCCATTGGTTCCATTGTCACGAAATCCGTGACAAGCAAAAACCCATTGATTCCATTGTCATGAAATCCATGACAAGTAAAAACCCATTCACTATATTGTTTAGATTTTTATAGTACACGGACTTTGACCCAATTTTAACAATCCAACCCCACACACATTATCTACATGTATAT